ATGTGGTACCCGAGCATGATACAAATGGTATGGAATAAGGGATGGAGATTGTATTGGGACTGGCTGGGATGGAGTTAACTTTCCCCAAAGCAGCCCTCAAAGTGCTGTGCTTTGTATTTGTAGCTAGAATGGTGTTGATAACACACCAACATTTTGGATACTGCTGAGCAGCGCTGGCACCACACCAAGGCTGCCTCTCCAACACCACACACATGCACACACTCCACCATCCCCAAAGGCAAGTAGACTGGTGGTGGGCAAGAGTCTGTGAGGGGACATAGTCAGGACAGCTGATCCCAAATGACCAAAGGGATATTCCATACCATATGATGTCACTCTCAGCAATAAAAGCTTCTCTTTTCCATGATTCACTCTGCAAAAATATCTTTTCTTAAACCATTCATCCTTCATCAAAAGGAGAGAGAGAAGGTGCATTCACAATTAAGGCATTTGTCTTCTGAAGCAACTGCTACACAAGGTCCTACTTCCCATGAAGTATCAGGACATTGCCCGATGATGACTAGTAGGGAGGATGACTAGGAGCTTTGCTTCTGTGTGTGTCCTTTGCTTCTTTTTCATTAAACTGCCTTTATCTCAACCCATAAGTTTTTAATCTTATTTTCTCCCCCATCTCAGTGAGAAAGGGAATGAGAGAGGGGTTTGGTGGGCTCCTGGTGGTCAGTCAATGTCAACCCACCACAGCAGCATTTCAAGCACTGTGGCAGGTACCCTAGCAGGACTTTCAGCCAGTGACCTGTGACTGGCCTCAGTCATGTAATGCAGATCTGGCCTGTGCAGGCTTCCTAACAGAGGAGGAATAAGAGGCAATAATGAAGGTGTTGATGTGGCACCAACTACCCTGTGTAGGTCTGCAGTTGGGAACTCTTCCCTTGGGCTGGGATGCAACCCAAGGTAACTCCTCAAGGTCGAGAGCCCTCACCTTATTGGGTGAGTGATTGTGCATTCTGGGTTACCCTTTCCAAAATCTTGAAAATTCTTAAGTCAGTTGGGTAATATCAATTCCATTTGACATCACAAATCTGTATTCAAATGTTGGCGGAGCTTTAATTGGTTTAACTGTTTTAACTGGTTTATAAAAATAAATCTCATTTGAATATTTCAATGTCTCAATTTCAAAAGTTTCTGCAACAAGCACACAAAGTAAGGCACTACTACTAAATAAGCTGAGAATGTTCATCATCTGTCTCTGAGTAAACTGCTACTGATTTATCTTAAAACCTAATGTTTCATTATTTACATAGAAGCATTAAAAAATTCAGAATTATTTCACACAAAAAAAAAAAAAACATAAAAAAAATTCAAAGTACAGTTGTATAATTTTAATGTATTGCAAAGACTTGACTTCAGAAATAGGTTCCGATACATGGCTATTCTGTGCTGAGTATCTCTTAACACTATATATCAATACACTGCACCCTCATTAATATTCCACGAAGAGAATATTTCAGTCCAAAACATTGTGGCTGACTAATGATTCACTGCATCTGTGTAGAAGCTACTCAGTAGAATGATAAAATCCATTTAGTAAGGCCACACAACTTTAAAAATCCAGTTGAATAAAATAATTTTATTTGTATCTACTTTAAAAAAACCCAAAGTTTATGGAATCTGCAAGCAGATGATAAAAGGTAACTTTTAACTGAGACTTAATATGGGAGATTCTTTATGCAAAAATATGTCAAACATTAAAGTCATAAAGAACTTGAAGGTTCTGTGCTTTACTGTATGATAGCACATGTATGACACAGATTTTGAAAATACTTTCCCATTATATATTTTGGTACAGTATGAATGAATTTAAAAAATAAAAAATAAAAATTCAATTCAATTGCCTCAAGGTATTTCTTAGAAGGAAAGCCATTTGCAGATCTATTTACCATCTGCAGTGACAAACTTCTATATATCCTAAATATTTCCTTTTTAACCAGTACAGAATAACTGGAGGCAATTACCTATGAAAATGATTCCATCAATACAGATCTGATTGTATGACTTCAGCACTTAAAAAGAGTACACTGGTTATACATGGCTTTTAAACTTGGGATACAATTATGCTATCAGAACTAAAATAAAGCCTAAATCATTCATGTAGAGATGTGTGTGTCACCTGATTACTCTTTTAGAGTCCTTGTTTTCCAGATCTGATGGAGATGGTGAAGGTGATCTGAGGTTCTTGTGCTTATATTCAGGGCAGGATGAACTTTGCAAATACCAGTTTCTCCAATTAATGACAAGCCACAAATCCCAAAGTAGGCATGTAAAGCATCTGAAAGCAGGATGGAAAATGAAAAAGAAAATTATGTTTCTGCCAGGGTGTAACAACCTGGATTGCAAACCCCCTGAATAATTATAACCAAGGAAAACAAACAGATACTACATTTTAAACTTAGGATTTAAAACAAGAAAAAAATTTCTGCCCAAACCCTCCAACATGAAATGACAGTGTGCAAACTCTAAGACTAGAGTCTGTTTTAATTTATAGCAATTCTTGCTCACTAGTTAATTTCTTTTAAATTCTCAGGCCAAACAGCAAAATCATCTGAGGAGCTGTAAATACACTTTTTTTCAACAGAATAAATCTTTCCTCTCACCCTGCAACGTGAAGCCTTTTTTTTTTGCAAATGAAAGGTCAAGTGGATACCTGGTTACTTAGTGGACAACTGACTGTTGAAACACCAAAATTAGCACCAGTAGCCTATCAGCAAGTTTAGACGTATGAAAAAAATCATTACTTTCCCTAACCTCCCTACAGATATGAATTCATTAATTATCTTGATCAGCAGAGATGAGATGCTCTTATTTTCCCATCTCAAAGCTCTCCTGTTGACTATCTTATACCAGCACTAGAACTTGCTCACTATCCTCCATGATTCAGAAAACATGGAAGAAAACAAATCCAAGTAGGAAAAATTGGACACCTTTCTGACATTTTATCGAATTAAACTAGTTTACAAAAGTGTTCAGTATACACCAAATCTAGTGCAAAAAGGGGAAAGGACATCCACATGTACTTTTATGGGAGCTTGGAAGGAGTCTGGGTAATCTATTAGGTTGGATTATCTGCCCAAAACATCACCGCCTAAAGATGGAAAGAGGTTACGACCTTAATGTCACCCTTTCAAATTCTAAACACTTGGTAAGCTTTTGGAGGTATCACTAATTTCATGTCTGACTAAAATAATATTACAAGAAGTTATACAACTGGAGTCTCGCTAGACAGATACCTCCTTTGAAAGATGGGTTATGTTTATCAGCATTAACATACAGACAAAAACACATTCAGTAGATATGTTGCCCTTCTCTGGATGCACTCCAGGACCTCAATGTCTTTCACGTAGGGAGGGGTCCAGAAGTGAATACAGTATTCGAGGTGTGGCCTCACCAGTGATGAGTACAGGGGAACAATCTCTTATATAGTCCTGCTGGTCAAACTATTTCTGATACAAACCATTGGCTTGGTCAATGTCAGACAGGGAAAACTCAACTTCAAGAAATATAATGTATTAACTCCTGTGGAAAGCTGCATTGATACTCACTGTTCTGGTTTTAACAGCCAGCAGGAAACTAAACTCTAAATAAACCACTCCTTTTCCCCCCGCCCCTTCTGATAATGGAGGGACAATAAGGAGAGACTATAAGTTAAAATAACATTTTACTAAAATCACAATAGCAATGGTGGTATCAATAGCAAAAAGTACACAAAAAGAAGGTGTTCCCCCCCCAGCCCAAAACCAACAGAAAGCAGGGACGACAAAAAACCTGGAAGCTAGTTCATCTGAAAAAAATGGGTTGTGCAGCTACTGGCTGAGCTCAGTCCTCTGCAGTTGTTGGAACTGCCACCTCCAACTCTCCGCCGCTGAGGGGGGGGGGAAGAAAAACATCTCTGCTGAAGTGCTGATTCCGTGCTGCCCGGCCCCCCAGTTGGCTCAGTCGTACCTCAGAGCTGTCTGCTTTCAGCACTGCAACTCTGTACTAGTGCTCCAGAGGAAAAAATGGGAGGAGGGAAAAAAAAAGCCAGCGGGCAACAGAAGGGACCAAGTTCACCGCAGTTTAAGGGGACAGTCCACTCTGCTTCAGTGACCTAGGCAAGATGGTAAACTTCTGGCTTTCAACATTTGCTGTTGAAACTGTGCCCACAATGATGATGTGGGTGGTAAAGAATACACAACTTGGTCACGCCCACATAGTGCTAAACTCTGCCTCCTATCTCTGTAACCAGGACACTCACTAAAAATATATATATACAAACCTATTTACCTATATAGGTATATTTGGTGAGTTTAACCACCAAGTTCTACACTTGTGCAAGACTGGGGAATGAGATGCTGGAAAGCAATGCCATGGAAAGGGACCTGGGGGTCCTGATCGATGGAAGTTGAATATGAATCAGCAGTGCCCTGGCAACCAGGAGGGCCAACCGTGTCCTGAGGTGCATAAGGCACGGCATCACCAGCTGGTTGAGGGAAGTGATTGTTCCCCTCTGCTCTGCACTGGGGCAGCCTCACCTTGAATATTGTGTGCAGTTTTGGGCATCGCAATATAAGAAAGTTATTAAGCTCTTAGAGAGCATCCAAAGGAGAACAATGAAGATGGTGAAGGGCCTTGAGGGGAAGTCTTATGAGGAGCAGCTGAGGTCACTTGGTCTGTTCAGCCTGGAGAAGAGGAGACTGATGGGAGATGTCATCGCAGTCTACAACTTCCTCATAAGGGGAAGAGATGGGGCAGGCACTGATCTCTTCTCTGTGGTGACCAGTGACAGCATCCGATGGAATGGCCTGAAGTTGTGTCAGGGGAGGTTTAGGTCAAATATTAGAAAAACGTTCTTCACCCAGAGGGTGGTTGGGCACTGGAACAGGCACACCAGGGAAGTGGTCACAGCTAAGCCTGTCAGAGTTCAAGAAGCATTTGGACAGTACTCTCAAGTACACAGTGTGATTCTTAGGGATGGTCATGTGCAGGCCAGGAGTTGGACTCAATGATCCTTGTGGGTCCCTTCCAACGGCATATTCTGTGATTCTGTGATTCCATTGTAACCATAATGCACCTATGCAGCCTGTGCACTCCTCTCTTTAAAGCTATAAAATATGCAAGGCTTTTCAAGGCTGGAAAACATGGGTCCAAATGTTTTATTTCACGAACAACCTGCAAATACATGACAGTACACAATCTCACAACTACTGAGCACTGTCTTAAAACCAAAGAAAAACACCAGGTGGATTTATACTTCTAGTGCTGTAGGGGGTGGACAGGACCCTTGCACAGGAGGCAAGTTGATTTGGATTTCTCTTTGCTCAAGAAGCCTGCTGTGGCTAAAGAAACACATGTTGAGAGTATGTGTGAGAACAACCACCTTTTGTCCTTCCAGTGGAACCTGCTCCTTTGTGAGACTAAACAGGGAATATTCTTATCTGAAGAAGATGCCAAAGAAGCATTCCTTCCCACAAGTGGGGGAAGGGAGACTGGGGGGGATGGGTAAAGGTAAATGGCTCAGAAAGCAGCATGGCACATGCCCTAGGACCCTTTGATATGCAAGGACAGGAGGCCATGGGGTGTGTGTGCTTTGGCCACCCAGCTGCGGCGAGTTGCTGCAACTGTGAGCATCCCCAGAATAAACTTCTATTTCTGCTTGAAAGTCAGTGCTTCCGCTCTCTGATTTTACCTGCGTGAACATTGGAACTTGCAGTGCAAATCTCACTTCAGACTTTTACATTTAGTAAATGTGCATGCTCATTCTCATCCTTTCCCTATCTTTTTATCAGGTTAGATCTTTTAACCTTTCTTTTGTGTCACCTGTAATTTATGTGTTTCCAATTCCTTTGTATTGCATATTATTTAAAGATTTCCAGTGAGATGAATCAGCAGTACATCTAGTAGTTTAAGATAAATTTAAAATTAATTTAAATTTCATAATGATTTATGTTCAAATCTGGAAAAAAAATGACTTAAGTAAGTATTCTAATAAAATCCCCAGATCTGTAGAACCCTAATGTTTGTGGGTTTAATATTTGTAATAAGTAACAGTAGTATAAGATAGCAAATCTAACTGTTTTTTTCCAGGAAACTTCTGATAGCCTTTCCTGAGTTTGACAACCCTATCTGGATGCTTATCTGTAGAGACTACTTGTAATTTTGGTAGTCCATGTAATCATAGAATCATAGAATCAGCTGGGTTGGAAAGGACCTCTGAGAACATCAAGTCCAACCCTTGATCCACTATTGCCGTGGTTACTAGACCATGGCACTAAGTGTCACATCCAGTCTCATCATAACAACCTCCAGGGACAGAGAATCCACCACTTCCCTGGGCAGCCCATTCCAATGCCTGATTACCCTCTCTGTAAAGAATTTCTTCCTAATATCCAACCTAAACCTCCCCTGGTACAGTTTAAGACCACGCCCTCTTGTCTTGCTGACAGTTGCCTGGGAAAAGAGACCAACCCCCACCTGACTACAACCTCCTTTCAGGTAGTTGTAGGGAGTGATGAGGTCTCCCCTGAGCCTCCTGTTCTCCAGGTTGAACAACCCCAACTCCCTCAACCTCTCCTCACAGGACTTGTGCTCGAGTCCCTTCACCAGCCTTGTTGCTCTTCTCTGGACCTGCTCCAGCACCTCAATGTCCTTCCTGAACTGAGGGGCCCAGAACGGGACACAGTACTCCAGGTGTGGCCTCACCAGCGCTGAGTAGAATCACTTCCCTGGACCTGTTGGCCACACCGTTCCTGATACAGACCAGAATGCCATTGGCCTTCTTGGTCACCTGGGCACACTGCTGGCTCATGTTCAGCTTCTTGTCAATCCAAACTCCCAGGTCCCTCTCTGTCTGGCTGCTCTCCAGTCACTCTGTGCCCAGCCTGTAGCACTGCATGGGGTTGTTGTGACCAAAGTGTAGGACCCTACACTTGGCCTTGTTGAACCTCATCCTGTTGGAATTAGCCCAACTCTCCAGTCTGTCCAGGTCCCTCTGCAGAGCCCTCCTGCCTTCCAGCAGATCAACACTCCTCCCCAGCTTGGTGTCATCTGCAAATTTGCTGATAGTGGACTCAATCCCCTATTTAAACAGAGGTTTTTTGCCTAAAGTAGAAGTTACAGAAGTTCAGATTCTTAATCTGTTTTAGAAAGCACCTATGAAAAAATTGTGTATGCTTATTTTGCAACCTTTCTCTGGCATATTCTGTCACATATGAGCTTTGCAACAAAACCAAACTGAGGCTACTTGTCTCAACCTTGCAAAAACTAAATGCTTTAAGAAGAATGAATAATTTCTGT